ATGACAGAGGGAGGGAGGATAAATGGAATGTGTGTAGGAAAAATGGCTGAAAGAATCTGAGACAAAGGGAACATGATGGTTGACCAGGTTTAAATTATCTTGACTCGGTTCTTGAACTTAATTTAACTTGTTAACTTCATTCATTGATCTTTAAAACATCAGTACATGATTTACTCATCATGTGTAAAGTTAGTGAGTTACTACTTATAATAATAATAATAATGTATAAAGGGTGAGTCATTGGAAAGTAGTGATGTAGACTCTCCTCTTACCTCCAGCACCAGCTCGGTCATCTGGAACCTCTTCTGCAGACCCTTGTTGGCCGGCAGCGGCTCGTGGTAGAACAGACACAGCAGGTCGAACCTCTTCAGAGCCTTCTTGTAGTTGCGCTCGCTCACGTCCAGCACTCTGTCCTTGCCGTCGAAATTCGGGAACTCCAGACCCTCCTCGGCTCTGCAGAGGAGGAACTGATGGAGGCAGAGGCCGGAGAGGAGAGGAAGCCAGATGTGCAGCATTGTTGGTCCAGGTGTTTGCAAGATGGAGAAATCAAAGAAGCTGTGGAGCTTGAAAAGATCTCATCATCAGAGTTCAGATCCTCCCTCAGGTCTGATCTCCACTATCTCTTTATCAAACAGGAAATATCCTCTCTCATAGTCGATGGCTGGTTTCTCTCTCTCTCTCTCTCTATTGCTCCTTTGACATCATTTCTCCTCCACCTGTCGTCTGTCTCCTCCTCTCTCCTCCTCTCTCCATCACACACTGGAGTAATCTCAGGGGACTCCATCGCCTCTTTTCCTCTCCGGGGCCCGAGAGCACATTTAAAGGACGAATCCTTCATGAGGCTCGTGCCCTGAAATCATTTCAGAACTGAGAGAAGCTTTGGAATCAGACGCTTCATCAAGCGGTGTCAGTTTCTATATCAGGGAGAATAACAATAAAATAATAATAAATAATAAATGGTCTTTCAAAAGCAAAACAATTAAAACAGCTATAAATGAATTTTTATTTACAGATGTTCAGGGCTCAAAGCCCAGAAAGAAAAAACCTGTGCACTCACAATCAAAAATATACATAAACATTACGGTAAAGGTTTTTTTGTTGTTGTTGTTGCGCATTACCGTACTATCGGCTCCAGGGAGACCTAACAGATCGCAGATGGCGGGTTTGCTCCTCAGGCAGAAGTAGAGGATTGTCAGAGCCATGGAGCGGGTTTGGCTGTGCGGCTTCTTGTGGCGGTGGATGATTCTCGGGTTGTTCTCGGTCTCTGCTGCAGGTGACGAACATTTCAACCGCTCGACGACACGTTCACGCGGAGCAGCGACACTCCGCCGCTCCGAGTTTGACTCTTCCACCGCACTTTACGGGCTAGCCTAGCTAGCCAGCGAGCTAACCGGCTAGCTAGGCTAACTCGGGATAAAAGTTGCAACTTCCGCCAAAAGCAAGAAAGAAGCTCAGACTTGTGTTCATGTTGTTTTGTTTGTGAAGGTGCAGTTTTAGTCGGAGTCGTGCTAGCTGCTAATTAGCCCTGATTCGTACAGCGATGAAGGAAGCATGGTCCTCTGTTTGACCCACGGTGGAGAGGAGGGGAAAGAATAGAGATGCACAGTGGAGATATGAACACATCTGCTGCCATGTTTGTGTTTCTGTCGCAGGCGAAGAGTGGAAGAAGATCAGAGAAAGCATTTCTGAGGCTGTCGCAGGATTCTCTCCCTGCAGCCCTGTCAACTGCAGCTGCCACCTGAGGTGAGTGAGTCTGGAGCTCACGTCTCAAGTCAGAGTCCAGGAAACAACCAGACAGATAAGTTCTACAAACGAACGTGGTCACTTCCTGTCAGACCGTCACACTGTTGTTTCTCAGCGTCACAGATATTATCTTCCTGATGAAAGGAGACAGTGAGGTGGATGTTGCCTCTGCGACCTTTACTGTACGAGATATGACCACAGTCACAGAACCCTCCCCTGAAGGTTCACGCTCCATCAGCCCATATTCCCCTTGATTCTGATCCGAGACACGTCTCTGTGATTTCTGTCCCAGTGTCCTACAGCATGACCTGCGGCCCTTTAAAGGACGCATCTCTGAGGACTTTATGGCTGCGACTGTCCAGAGAGGGGTGGGCACCCACTACCAGATCATCGGTCACAAGTTGTACAGGGAACACAACTGCATGTTTCCTGCCAGGTAAAGTTAAAATTCCAATTAAACAGATTGTTCTTTTACTCTAACTTCCTCCCAGTAAGTTAAAACATGCATGTAAGCTGATTTCAGACAGACGATCTGTGTTGTCAGGTGCAGCGGAGTGGAGCACTTCATCCTGGAGGTGATCGACAGGTTACCGGATCTAGAGATGGTGGTCAACGTCAGGGATTACCCTCAGGTCCCCACCTGGGTGCAGCCAACCCTGCCTGTCTTCTCTTTCAGTAAGGTCAGACTTCAACAGTACTTACATGCACATACACATGAATATTGGTTTATGAGATGCAGTAACTGCTCATGTGTATGTTTGATGTGAGTAGACCTCAGACTACCAGGACATCATGTATCCTGCCTGGACATTCTGGGAGGGCGGACCTGCCGTGTGGCCCATATACCCCACTGGACTGGGGAGGTGGGATCTGATGAGGGACGACCTTAAAAAGTAAGATTCATCAGTTGTCAAGGAGAAAACAAGGAGATTTTCATACATTAGATATTATTTGGTTACAGATAAAATGATTTAGTTATGAGAAGAGTATTTTAGCTTTTTGATGATGTGCACTTCCAGGTCAGCAGCTCAGTGGCCGTGGACGAAGAAAGAGTCCAAAGGATTCTTCAGAGGCTCTCGGTCAGTCCTGTTCATTTTCTAGTTTGTGTCATTATTTCTGATTCCTTTTTTTTTCCTACTATTTTCTGCCATTTGTGTTTTCTGAGCTGATTTGTCCTCTTTCATGTTTCGTTGACAGGACCAGTCCAGAGCGAGACCCGCTGATCCTCCTGTCCAGAGAAGCTCCAGAGCTGGTGGATGCAGAGTACACGAAGAACCAGGCCTGGAAGTCTGAGAGGGTCAGACAAACTACACCGAGGCCAATTACATTGAAAATAAAAGCTGTCACAGTCTGATATCATTTCTCCTCCCGGGTTCTTGAACGTCTCTAATACTCTTTGCTGTTGTCCTTCCTTCTTTGTGCCTCTCTGTCATAGGACACACTCGGGAGTCCCCCGGCCAAAGAAATCCCACTGGTGGATCACTGCAAATACAAGTAAGTCAGACTCCTCACTCTGTTTTTACATCAACAGTAGAAGTGAGCCTGTAATCCATTCACTGTTCAACACAACCTGTTGTGTAGCTTTGAGAAGAATCAACAATATAACGCAGCTTCGTTCCACGTTTCTCAGGTATTTATTCAACTTCCGGGGCGTGGCGGCCAGCTTCCGCCTCAAACATCTCTTCCTCTGTGGTTCTCTGGTGTTCCATGTGGGGGATGAGTGGCAGGAGTTTTTTTACGCTCAGCTCAAGCCGTGGGTTCACTACGTCCCCGTCAAGCAGGACCTCTCAGATGTCAGGTACTTCATCTCGTCTCAGTAACCAGAGAAGTTCCTCCTGCAACCTTCATTAGATTCATAAACAGTATTTGCACCAGTATTTGGATGATTGCGATCAGTACTGAAGGTAGTTTTGAGTACGACGCAGGTTTTTCACGTGAACTGCTGATGTGTATTTACATGATCTGTGTCCTCAGGGAGCTCCTACAGTTTGTCCAAGAGAACGATGCCATCGCGCAGGAGATCGCCTCGAGGTGACACATTATATTTAATGAAAGGGTTTTGATGAAGTGCTTTCACAAATGCACTGAACTCTGTGGAACCTCCTGACGTTCTCGGGAGGGGTTGTACGTGTGCGCTCGTCCCAAATCAAGTCTGTGTCTGATTTTCTGTTTCTCCTCCGTAGGGGAAAAGAATTCATCCTCAACCATCTGCGGATGCAGGATGTTTCCTGCTACTGGGAGAAACTTCTCACTGAGTTCAGCCGCCTTCTCACCTACAAACCCAAGAGAAGGACCGACTACAACCAGATTGTCCACAGACCCAGGAAGACGGAGCTGTGAGGCGGAGATTCAGGAAGGGAAACTCCAGATACTGAATGTAATCCCTCCGCCACAACAGATGATTGAACAAAATCACTCTACAGTATTTTTAGACACCTTTATTTCTAATGATGTTTTAATTAGATGTCGTGAATGTAGTTTACTGAGTCGACCTTCGTTTTGCTGCCATATCTTCAGGTGCCACAGTTTTGCCAAATATTCATCGACCATTTTCTGGTTAAATAAAACAAATCATGTTTTTCCGTCCCCATGTTAAAGGGACATTCCACAGATTTAACCTGTCGATCAAAGGCAGTTTACTCCTCATGAGCGTCACTACTCAGCCGTTAAACAGTTGGATGTTTCCTTTGGCTCTGGAGGAGGAGAACGTATTTTCAGCACAGAGTGTATTTATAACCTGGGAGTGGAGGGTTAGAAATATGTGGCCGTGAAAGTTGAAGGAAAAATGATCAAGTTACATTTTGGGAAATGCAGGATCCCACTTTTAAAGTTTGAAAGAGTTGTGATGTTCATTCCTGCCTCTCGAACTTGTTTTGGTGAATGAGTGCCTGCACCTTCTCCAAGGCCTATATATCTTTACTTGAAGCAACGTCCCCCTCTGCTGGAAAACTGGAGACACTGCAGGCGACTGACACCAACACATCCTTACACTGCATGAAATTCTTGTTTATGCAAACGATGCAATAACAATGTCACTGTCTATAATTGAATGGCCTCTGACACAACTTGTTCCATAACTTAAAAGCACAAAAGAATGTGACATTCCACACCAAGTGTCATGAGTAACAGAAGAAGCCTTTTATTTTGATATGTGGACGTTCTCAGCCTTTTCTAAAGAATCTGTGTGTGTGTGATGAGAGATGATGTGTGAATGACACAGGACAGTGTTGAATATGTTGTAGTATTCACGTTGTACTTTGAACCAGCAGAGGTCCGTGTCCTTTTGTCCAGACGTGTGGTGAAGACGGTACGTGCCAATGTAGATTTGACCAACACGCTGTGATCATGTGACGTCCATGTTGTTGTGCTGCAGTTTTGTTTTTATGCCAATAAACTGTTTGGTTCTTAAACGACCTCAGCTGAAGTTTGTTCTCATCGTTGTGACGTCTCACATTTCACTTGTTTGAGTGTTTGAACTGATCCCTGTTGTGTCCAGTCCAATCTTTGATTATTATTTATATTCAATTAGCTTTGTCACGAATGTGTTTAACTTTCTTTATTATTATATTGGAGAAGATAAGGAGGCTGTCTGTCTAATATCTATCTACATGCAGTATCGTATTGAGTCCTCCGCACCGCTGGGTGGCGCTGTCCCCGTGCAGTGTGGCTGTTATATATATGTGCAGAGGTCAGAGGTCAGGACACCGGCCGCTGTCAGAGGTGAGCCGCAGAATCAGAAACAAACAAACGATCGTCCGACGTGTTTTTAAGAGTTTGTGATGATCGTCGGCGCTTCAGTCGCTCACTGGACAAACTGTTGTCTGACGCCAACCTGCTTTTCTCCACTGACTTACACAGGCCGCTGGCTAATGCTAACTGCTAACGCCACCATGCTCCCATTGTCGGACGAAGGACTTATTCGCGTTCTGCGGCCAAAGACACCGAACGTGGAGCAGCTTGTTGTTCCTGCGCGCGAGTGAGACGTCAGCCTAGCTTAGCACTGGAAGAGACAGGCTAAGCTAATGTAGCTGCGTGACATTAGTCTGATGAGGGACCTGCGCGTGTGATTGACGTGTGATATGACTGTGATGGTGTTTGTGCTGCAGCATCAACATGAGTCTAATGACATGTGCTGCATCTTCAGAGAGAGCGAGAGAGAGAGATGCATAGAGAGAGATGCATAGATAGAAAGAGAGAGAGAGATGCATGAATAGATGGATAGATAGAAAGA